TTTGGATTCATTTATGTGCAAGCCACACATAATTTGGATTCATTTATGTGCAAGCCACACATAATTTGGATTCATTTATGTGCAAGCCACACATAATTTGGATTAGTTTATGTGCAAGCCACACATAATTTGGATTCATTTATGTGCAAGCCACACATAATTTGGATTCATTTATGTGCAAGCCACACATAATTTGGATCAGTTTATGTGCAAGCCACACATATATCTCAATATTCCGCAAACTTAATGATTAATTAACCATTCAGTTGAAAACACACCAGAGCTTCAAACTGTTATCGTTTTGTGTTCTAGCGTTTATCGTCTGCTGGAGCCCGTACTTCATCTACGATTTGCTCCAAGTGTTCGATTACATAAAGTACAATGAAACAACGTTTGCAGTTGCGACATTTATCCAAAGCTTGGCTCCTCTTAACAGTGCAGCTAATCCAATCATCTATTGTTTCTTCACGACCACCCTCTACCGGAATCTACGGTAAGTAGAAATATCATGATGCACTTTTTTTATTGCCAGGTTAATAAAGCCGTTATTTTGGCGGGTAAAGCCAACAATGAAAAGTTTTGTTTACGACACAAAAGCGGAATCTGATTGTAACATCTGAACATTGTTCATTATTTCACTGTACTAGAACAAATAGTATTAAATTGTAACATCTGCATCTTAATAATACACGAACACGTTAACTGAAGTACTGTTATATCATTCTTAATTTAACTGAAGTATTGTTATATCATTCTTAATTTAACTGAAGTACTGTTATATCATTCTTAATTTAACTGAAGTATTGTTAAATCATTCTTAATTTAACTGAAGTATTGTTAAATCATTCTTAATTTAACTGAAGTATTGTTAAATCATTCTTAATTTAACTAAAGTATTGTTAAATCATTCTTAATTTAACTAAGGTATTGTTAACTCATTCTTAATTTAACTGAAGTATTGTTATATCATTCTTAATTTAACTAAAGTATTGTTATATCATTCTTAATTTAAATAAAGTATTGTTAAATCATTCTTAATTCTAAAAGTAGGTTTGGTTTTGGTTTGAATTTCGCGCAAACCTACACGAGGGCTAGCCGTCCATAATTTAGCAGTGTAAGACTAGAGGGAAGGCAGCTAGTCATCACCGCCCACCGCCAACTGTTGGGCTACTCTTTTACCAACGAATAGTTGGATTAACAATCACATCATAACGCTGAAAGGTCGAGCATGTTTGGTGGGACGGGGTTTGAACCCGCGACCCTCAGACTGGGAGTCAAGCGCCCTTACCACCTGGCCATGCCGGGGAAAAGTTGGCCTATTTACACAACAAAAAGGAAAGGAGAACGCTGTGTAAATTTTTTTAAACCAATATTATGTAAATGAATCAAAAAGTTTCCAAAATATTTGTTTAAAATGTTCACAAAATAAATACA